TTTGATCTCCTTCTTTGTCCGAAAATACTATTTACCTTTACAATCTCAAAAAACTTAAATACATTTTAATTATCCGACCGCCAACATTAAAACAAATATAAGATAAGAAAACGATATATTAACTCTCGGACGAATGTAGAAGACGACCCAGCATAAACCATTATTTATAAAAATCTACTTCCGGGCAATTGACCAATTAACATCTTAAAATCATCCAAAAAGGTGCAATTGATGGACAATTTTAAAAATAATATCTAATGTAAATTATTTTAATCGCAGAGACGTTTTGTCTTCTCTGTGCACCTAACCGACTGCATAATGATCATTATTAAAGTCCATCTAAAATATATCAATAGACACATTGACTGCATTTCGACGCGAGAATAAATCGTTACAAACATAACACAAATTTACATAGAAATTACAGAGCCAAACTACCATAGAATGACGATTAAATATTTTCAATTAATTCAAATAAAAAAATTGTAATATTTTACTTTAAATTTGTGGTGTGTTATATGTGCACGGGTGCACATGCCCAGTTTAGTTTAGGTTTTTGCTTCAATTAAACTTCAAAACGTACTACTGGATGCGAGAATTGAAAGCACACGTTCTTTTGTTAATATCGTTATGAAAGACAAATCACATTTTCGGACGTAGTTAATAGCGTTTTTGTTTGATGTGGAAGTGAGAAAATATTAAATCTTCACGTGATAAGAGCTTTGTCAGTGGTTTGTTATTTTTTCGAAACTTACTTAAGTTATTTGACTTAACGAAGAATTTAATTTTTGATATCCTTAGCGCTTTCGCGCTTATGGATGCAATTCTGGATTCTAAATATAAGTTCGCAAAAATAAGATTTGATTTTTAAATCACATGTGCCAACGCTCTTTATGTGACTATAAGCTAATACAATAACTCCGTTACCTTCTTCATTGTACAGTTAAAGAGCATAAATTTAATGTATTTTGACAAACTTCTTACTTTGTATCCTGATGCGAAAGCAATTTTGTTGAGAACATTTTCTTATTATTGTTATTATTATTACTATGTATTTACTTATTTTTTTATTTATTTTATTATTATTATTATTAAAAAATTTTTTGTAAATATCCATCAAGGATTTATGTAAATATTGTAAAGTGAACTGAACACCTTTAATATTTCACAGGTAATTATATTTATGTTATTCTCGTAAAATTCCATGTTTTCATTATTATTATTATTATTATTATGATTATTATTACACAACAATAATAATATACGCATATATGTATGTATATGTATGTATGTATGTATATACATAATATATATTTGTATATATATATATATATATATATATATATATATACTTTAAAGTAGCAGAAACAAAATCTCTAATAATATTTCCGTTAAAAATCCCCGTAGCTAGCTTTGTATAATATGTGTATATGTGTATAGCAAACAACTAATAAATAATGAAACTTAACAGCAAGCATAACAATCTAGTTGAACTATTTCATACTCAACAGTATAACCTATGACTGCACCTTGATTCCCACCTTTAGATAATATAAAAAATACATGAAAATACATAAATATAAAAAATTAAAACAAAACAAAAAAAACTTGACAACTTGAAAACTTAAAATCAAACTTTTCAATTTCTTTATCTCTTTCATCAATCAAAAACAATAAGCATTCATCACCGCCTAAACTTCAAACGATAAAAAAGGATAACCAAAATTTTTGAGGGAAGAAGAACAGAAAAAAAGAAAGTAAACGGAAAGCGTTTAACACACGAACCTCCCTTTCAGGCATCCATTCTTTTAAGAAATCACTCCTTTTCTTTTCTACCAACAGTTAGTCGCATCTTTCAATAGATGTCTCACTATCTCTCTTTCTCAGTCGCTCTCTCTCTCTCTCTCTCTCTCTGTCACTCTCTCCCTCACTTTTCACACACACACATTCTTTCTCTCGCTCTCTCTCTCTCTCTCTCTCTCTCTCTCTCTCTCTCTCTCTCTCTCTCTCTCTCTCTCTCTCTCTCTCTCTCTCTCT